TGAACACCTTCCATATGCGTTGCTTCTGACAGATTTATATATATATATATTACTGAAACAGCAACGTCTATGTTGGCTTGGGCACATTGTGAGAATGGCTGATGGTCGGATTCCAAAAGATCTCCTGTATGGAGAATTAGTGCAGGGAAATCGCCCCAGAGGGAGACCACAGCTGCGATACAAGGAGATCTGCAAGTGGGATCTGAAGGCCTTAGGAATGGACCTCAACAGATAGGAAGCCCTGACATCTGAGTGTTCAGCCTGGAGGCAGGTGTTGCATCACGGCCTCTCTTTGAAGAGACCCTTGTCCAGCAGGCGGAGGCAAAGAGGAAGTCGCAAAACCAGCAAATTTAGGGAGCTGGACAGGGGACAGATTGGATTTGTCTTCAGTGTGGAAGGGATTGCCACTCTCGAATCGGCCTCCTCAGCCACACTAGACGCTGTTCCAAGTCCTCCATACAGAGCACGTTACCGTACTCTATCGAGACTGAAGGATGCCTAACTTTAAAGTTTGTGATACGTATTAACATTTATAAACCACTATCTCTTTACATTTTGATCAAGTAATTAACACTATGAATATTGAAATAGATACGAGAGAAATCAACCCAGAGGGAGAACTATTAGGCTGAACAAGTCAATAGATCCTGGCATATTCACATTAAACGGGTAAATATTTCAGACACAATAATATTTGGAACCCTTCAGACTTGGAAACAATATGTAAAGAGGTCTGTTGTTCAGTGCTGAACAATATAAACAAAAACTTTTTTTTCTAATTATGGTTACTAAGGAAGGAGATTAACCAAATACAATCTAATGATGCTAGGGATGAAATACACAGATTAATCATGCAGAGTGGACAAATGTTTCAGAAATGAAACATTTCTGTTTCATTTCCAACAACTACAACACAGCTCCATCAGAAAGGGGGCACCAAGAAAAGGATCTCCACAAATGCTACTCTTTCCCATCTGTGTGGGAAGTCCGTTATTGAAATCTAGCTTACATCTGGAATAGTCAGAGTAGTCAGTTGACTAAATGGGCGAGATATAAATTCAATAAATAAATAAATAAAAATAAATCTGGCTGCCCCGTAAATAACCCATTTATCTCCATTTAAAAACATCATAAACCTCTCGAAAGTACATCAACTGCCCTGCCAGACCTCACCACTTTAAACCTAAACTACCCAGGCAACACCTTAATGTAGTTTCCAGAGCTATAGATAAAACAGGAAAGCAATCCTGTCCGTTGATAAAGAGTACATCTCTACAAATTATGAACCTGAATGGCTGAGAAAGTCCACGTTTAAGCCTGGATGAAAGGTAAATGTAAGTAATTTTGAAAAGCCAAGGTCTCACTCTGCTCCCAATGGCTGTTGAGGCAGGAAAGGAGCAAGTGGGCAAAGACCAACTGTCAAGAACTTAGAGCACTGTTGCTCCAGCAATCATGTGACCTCAGAGGTCATGTGACACCTTCTCTCATTATGTCCTCAGTGGTATATCAATAGTTATTTAAATGTCTCTCATACTCTTAAGCCCAACATAAGGCTGCTTGCAAGAGTGAAATAAAAGTCTTGTCGTGTGGATCGTAAATACTTCTGCATGGGCTGCTGTCGGGCTGTTTTGTTTTTGTTTTTCTTATAAGCTCATAAATGATAAGTAGTATCTCCAAATGAGCATCCTCTTAGTTAATGACATGGAGCTACAGTATTTACCTACTCCTTTTTAGGTCAAGAGTCAAGAATGGAATATTAGAAGATGTTGGAGAACTAATTGCCATTCAAAGCACTATTTATGTCACATAACCCTGGTCCAAATTCAGAAAATGTTAGCACTAAAATAAATCTTTTTCTCGTCCTGACTTAGGGCACAATCCTAACTAGCCAGGCTGGCCTTAGGCTGGCTGAACCAGACTCTCACAATTAAGAGGGAGATACCTGTTAAAGGTACAGTGTGCTATTTCCCCCAAATGCAAGTCCTTTCTGCAGCTGCCATAAAACCCATTGCAACACCAGTTTGCACCATAGAAGGCTAAGCCCATCCTAGTGCATCTGGTGCAGTCAGAGTGCCCCCATGACATCTGCCTTTCTCTCATTTAAATGTCCACCCACCCAACTGAGAGAATCACAGGAGGCAGCCAAAGAAAACTTCTGTTTATTGATCTATATGATGGCCTCACATTACTCCCTCTTCCCCCTGCCCTAGCTCAATTAGTGGCAAGGTTAGTGACTAGAGCTGTATAAAATTATACTTCAGGCAAGAATTCTTAGGCTGTGTTTTCCATGGATCCTGTAGTCTGTTGTCCATCTGACACAACTCTACACAATTCTACACACCTCTACACAGTTCAACCTTGGCTCTTTCACTGTCCATCTTCCTGCTCTCCTTCCTGGTTGGGTAATGCTGAGTTTGCACTTGGATACTTCTTTCTGTTTTACTCATGATTGGGCAGCTTGGGTCCCTTCTACAATACTAAATTTGTGGCTTGTGATTGGAGGGCCAGCTTGAATCCCTACCACGGTCAATCCACCTGCCCCTCACCTCTTGGCTCATGATTGGGGGGGCAGCTTGTATCCATCCCAGTGATATCTTGCCTACCCCCTAACTCATGAGTGATGATTAGGGCACCAGCCTGTATTCTTACCAGTGTCTTCCCAGCCCACTCAGCCTCATGAGTCATCCCATTCACACAGCTCAGGATTGGCAAACCATGCGTTCCTTCCCACCCTTCCCATCATTATCAATGAAAATAGGATTTGTGTCCCTCCCTTTTTCCTGCAGTATCCTTCCCTAGGAGCATGGCTCTGAGCTACCGTGTCTAATAAAGAAACTTGACACAGAGTTGTTGTACATAGCATATTATTGAGCAGGTATGTCTCCTCAGAAGCACCCTTGTATCTTAGACAATGAGTGGACAGACAGCAGAGAGACATGTGCAAAGTGCTTTTGTGTAGCTGTGCTACAGCTGATGCATAGCTGTCTGACCAGACCAGCTGCAGGACTCGGGCAGTTCAGTGGCTGCAGTCATACATGGCTGGGTGCTTTTGGAGCTGCACCTGTAGCACAGCCGGCTGTTGATTCCAAATCTGGATCAAGGTGAGTGTACCAACGAAAACATTAAAAAGAAGTCTGGTGATTTTTTTGGAACAATATGGAGCCACCTCTTGAACCCTCACAACATACCAAGTCCTTTTAAAGGAATTCCTGTTATGTGGAGGTTGTAATATATGTATACTACAGTATTTGTTTCTATGTCTTAAGAAACTTGCATTACATCACAGCAGTGAAGCTGCAACCTGAAATTAACTCTGTAATTTATTCTGGTGTATCTCCTCTACCCCCACATCCTTCTCTGTGGGAGAAGCAGGCATGAAAACAAAATCCAAGTAAATGTGTAGTTAAGAGTTCACTGTTTATTAGGAAAATGCTATGTAACCTGCAGTTTTGCTCCAAGTCTGTTTATAATCATTATGGTTGGTTGTGGATTTCCCCATTTGTAGATGTGAGCATTAATAAGTTTCAGCATGTTTCAGATGGTACCGTGAGCTTAACTTTTTGTATGCCTAGCTTTGGGATTCGAAAAGAGTTGTGATTGTCAAATTGGAGAAGTGGTGACAGTATTGCTGGTGCAGGAGTGTGTTAAAGATATCCTAATTTTATCAGATTCTTTATTGAAGTTGGAGGAATGGCTAGTGCTAGTGGGCTGATAAATGGAATTTGGTCTCTGAATGTCAAACTAAATTTCATGGGATCTGGTTTGGGATAATGGAGCCAAAATTAGTTGATTGAAATGCAAAATGTACTTTGCAACACTCTGATTTTGGTTTTCCTGTTCCTTTATCCTAAAATAAAAGTTATTTTCAGGAGAAAATGTGTGAACGGCAAATATGGTGGGAACTGGATAATATTTGGTTGTCAGATTGTTAATCAAAAAGGTTGAGCATGACAGCACTGTCTTTTTTTTAATGTTGTCAGGACATCACTGAGCACATTGGCATAGGGTGCATTCAGATCTTGTGTGTGGAGTGTGAGCACCTACTAATCACATTTTGTGGGATTGTTTGTGATATAGAGATTGAGGCCTTTTCTTTGCCTTCTGGCTGGTAATAAAGTTGCGGCTGGTAGGGCTGGGGACGACATACTTCAGGACAGCAGTTTGTGGTTCACAATCTCCTTTGCAGGTCTGCAGTATAGTGAAGTAGAGGTAGTTTTCACAGTTGTAGGTGGTTCCCACTACGTGCCATCAAGTGGGTTCCAACTTATAGCTGGAATGCATTGCAACTAAATGTCTTCTGAAGGTCCTGTCCTGAATAGCCCTGCTACAGTCTTCTGGACTAACTCATGGTGTCCATTATTCAGTCCGCCCATCTTGTTTGGTTCACCCTTTTCCCTGCTATCTTCCACTCTTCCCTGCATTATTGTCTTTTCCCAGGGACTGTTATCTTCTCATGATCCCGGCAAAGTGGAAGTTTAGTCATTTTTAGCTCCTCTTTCGAGTGCAGACTTGATTTGATCCAGAACTTTCAGCACCCACAGTAACACCAAAAAGCTATCCACTCTGCCACCACCTGGAATAAATATACTGTATTTTCCTTCCCGTCAGTTTTCTTCACTGTCGTGCAACAACTGGGGCTACCACACAGTGGGTGGTCCTGGCCTCCCACCGTAGACACATCCTTGCTCTTGAGGAGCTTTCCTCGTCTCTTCATAGAAGCGACCGTAGGTGGCGGTAAAAACGGCCTTTTGTGTGTGCGTGTTTTTTTTTCGGCGCGGCTTCGGTGTGAGAAAATCCAGGACGAGGCGAAGCGGCGCCACGGAATTCCCTCCGTCTATGACGTGGAGGGGGCGTGGCTGAGAAGAGGGGGAGAGCGCGCGCGCGAAGCAGCCTCGGCGCGTGCGCAGAAAGCTGCTGACGCCCAGAGCCGTCCCCGCAGTAAAGATGGCGAAGCGCGTGAGGAGTGGAAGGAAGGTGGGAGGAGGAGGAGGCGGAAGTGGGATGTGCCTCCTCCGGGTTGAGTAAGAGCAAGGGGGGGGGAAGAAACCGCCGAGGTGCCCAGCTTGAGGGGAGGGGGAGCCCCTCCAGCATCCCAGCGCCGTTGCCAGGTATGGGGAGAGGAAGGAAGGGAGCGAAGGTCGTCGACCTTGCCCCTGTTGGCGTGAGGGACGAATTTGACCCTATTCTCTCAGTTAGCCCTTAATTGGGCTTTCACGTAAGGGGGGGGCGGGCGGCATTATTATTCATTTACCTGAGTGTACAGGACGGGAGGGGGCAAGATATTTTAGTTTTGACGGTTTCTCCCCCTCCCCCACGTGGAGGGGGTCTTTGAGTTGTATTATGTAACACGAACTTAAATGCCATTTTGGCAGCAGCTGTGGCGTTCGTGTGTGTGTTTTATATATTTATATATATATATATATATACACAGCTCCTGATACATTAACTCGCGCTCATTGCTTTCCTTTCTTTTCAAGCGGTAGTTACAGAACAAACTAAATGTACTTGGGGTGGAGGGATGGGAATGCCCCAGTCTGTTAGTTTCTTTTCTAAACTGGAGCTGGTCACAAACTAGTCAGTTTCAATACTAGTCAGTTTCAATCTGTGTTTGGCACCATGAATGAAGGACTTGCCTGCTTCTAAGTCTTTGTAAGATTCAAAGCTCTCTTGACATTTCCAAGCTCGGCTTGAGAAGATTTCTGAGGACCTACCTTGAGAGATAAGAGTACTGCTACTGTGCAGAGGTTAATGTTTTGGCTGAGGGATAAGTGAGAAGAATGTGATTAACGCAAGTTCGTCACATTTCATCCACTCTCCAATTAAAAGTCTGAACTGAATAATTAAATGTGCAAACTTTTTATTCATTATTTGACTTATCTGAATTGCTGCAACTGTTTCCCTAAGTAAAGCCAAGATGAATAATAATATAAAAAGTCTGAATTGGCATTGGAAGACATTGCTTGCTCTATAGAATTAATCTTATTTCATAAACACTTGCTTAATTTTCTGATTTAGCTGTTTGATTTTAATGAATTTAATGAAATAGTTTGATACATCATGTATGCTTTTATTTACTAGTATGCTGTTGCTTGTTTCAACTAGATTCTGCTGACTCAGTGAAATTTACATAAGTGCTGTCTTTCCATTTAACAAATAACTCAGTGGATCTACTCTCTAGTTAAGACTTTCACTGACCATTCTGTACTAGTGCTTTATAAGGGTGAATTTTGTATTTATTATTTAATGGAATGATTTATGGAAAACTTAACGATAGACATGCTCTTCAGTAAAAATGTGTGTAGTTTCATTGTGTGGGCTTTCCCACAAGTAGCAAGGAAAGTACGATTAAAAGGATTTGGGAATTTACTGTATGGAAGCCCAGCTTTCTGTAACTAAAAATTTGTAGATAACAGAAATAAACATCTCTCTGTAGAATTTAAAACTGTCATGCTCAGCAACTTAACATTCTTAACCTATTTTTAGGAGCAAATGTAAATACATTTCCCACAATAAACCCTACTGGGAAAGTCAGAAATAAGATATATTTTCCAGATTGACATCTGCCTAAACATGCTTTCTCCATGGGCAGTGGGACTGGGGGGAGGGACGAAATTCACAATGAAGGTGATGGAAATGAATAAATTAGAAAATAAGTTTCAGTTATTGCTAACTTCTCTACCATTTAATTTTTTTTAGTTGCAGAATGGCAGACTTTAATCCCTCCCCACTGAAACACTTTGTGCTGGCTAAGAAGAGGATTACTGCCATTTTTGAAGAACTGTTGGACTATGTTACTGAAGGAACTAATTTTGTTGAAGGTTGGTTATTGAAGGGGATATATGTCTCTTTTTGCAGAGGTTAAAAAAAGGCTAAGAACCAAAACTTCTTTCATAGCACTGATTAGAAAGTACCTAAGAAATATCTACTTTTATGTAGGGATAATAGATTTTGTTAGATATTGAACAATTCACTATAGGTTTTTATTCTTTCTGAGTTGGAACAGGGCACTGTTAGTGTTAGCATGATTGATTTGGCAGAAAGAAGTATTGAAAATTGTTATTGGACGTTTATCATGCATTGCAAAACTTTAAAAAAATAGTCATTTGTGTGTCTTTCTATAATATCTGCTACATATTCTCTGACATCTACATTCCTTGTCTTCCTTGGTTCCATTATTGCTGTGATGGACACAGGCATGCAGCAGTATGGCAAACCCATTCATTTCCGCTTGTTAGCTGCTCTAGTGTGACATAGTGGTTGAATAGGCTGTGAAACTGAAGAAGACTTCCAGTATTGATGCATTTGGACATTTTCAGAAGATGCAGTCAGTCTTTATGTGCTGCTTATCTGATAAATGGAAATAAGGTTGATATTAGTGGGGTTTTTTTAAAGGCAGACGATTGGAGCAGAAATTCTCAAGGGAAAGGAATTCAAAATGAATTTTAGCTTTCTGGAAGAAACTTGACATGCTAGGATTTGGATCCCAGACCAATAAGATGGTAGTGGGTAGAAGAGATGAAGGACTATAATGGTTTCTTTTTTTTAATCCTAGAAATGTTGGGCAGGTCTTAAGTAAAAGGAACAATGACACTTGACACTACCATTTGAAGATCATATGGGGACACTGGAAGAAAGAAGTGACTGAAGGGAGCGGTACGAGGGGCTGGGCTAGCAGAGCCATCAAAACATAATTTGTTGTTCCTGATACTGTTCTAAACAGGTTTATAGAAAGATGTGGAACTATAACATATGGTGACATGTAGGTGTGTGAATTAGTAGGTCAAGATTAGTCTAATACTGTAATTTAAAAATGCTAAGTCACAAGTCTTGCAAATAGATCTAGTGCTAAATTGACTTATTGGGATGAAGCCCAGGGCCTCAAGAAAGCAACAGAGTTATGTGACTTACCCTGTAGAATTGATAATACACTTATCTAAATTATTATGCCATTTTCTGATTGTTCCATGTGATGACAGAAACATACAGAAATCCAGAGCTTGAACATATAACCACTGAGGATGAACTGGTAGAAATACAGGCATATAAAAGCAAGTTGGCTATCATAGGTGAAGTGCTTGCACGGCGTCACATGAAAGTAGCTTTCTTTGGCAGGTAAGAGGTTAATTTATTCTGAATGAATTATGAAGTTTATCTTCTTGGGTACAGTCTGCCAGGGAGCTCTCTGTAACAATCCTGTCTGTCTAAAGAGACAAAGATTGTGGTCAGGGAGTCCCTCTGGGTGCAAAACTGCCACCTTTATTTCCTGAGGTAGGTCCTTTAGGCCTCAGAAGTGCATAGTAAGCCACATGGACAAGCCTGAACCTTAAATTAATGTTCAATTGCTTCCAAAGCAATAAAGCATAGGTTTTGTGTTTCCTTAGAATGCACAGCAGCCTTACCAAGTAGGACAGTAGGACTTTTTAACTTACAGTAGCAAATATTAACTTTCTTTCATCCAGACTGGATGTAGATAGTCCTGCTGCATCGAGAGACTAGATCCTTGTTGAAGAATTATATTAGTTTTATTAAGAAAATAAAATTTCATTAGAATACAGTTGTTGCTTTAAAGCATAAGCATTGAGCATTTCCAGACTATTACAATGTTTAAATAAACCTACATTTTCTAATTAAAATAAAAACAGCTACTCTGTTTTCCTGGAAATAAGACCTAACCTGAAAATAAGCCCTAGTATGATTTTTCAGGATGCTTGTAATATAAGCCCTACCCCAAAAATAAGCCTCAGTTAAGTGAAACTCAGCCCTCCACCATTGTGCAGCAACCAGACGAAGATGACATGACTGTATTTGAATAAATGTAGATTGTTGTACAGTGGTGCCTCGCTTAACGAGTGCACCGTTTAACGATTAATCCGCATACCGATGCGGATTTTGCGATCGCATTATGATGTTGCCTATGGGGAAAAATCGCTTTGCGGTTTTTCCCCATAGGCAACCATTTTCCCCCATCTGACTGGCGGGAGCCTCTGAAGGACCGCTCCCGCCGCTCAGCTGGGGGGAAATGTCGGCAGTGGGCGGCAGCCTCGGAAGGACCCCGAAGCCACCGCCCGACTGCTGACATTTTGCCTTCCCAGCTCTCAAAGGGCCCCCCCCCGACATTGGAGAGAACCCCTTTGAGAGCTCGGAAGGCTCTCAGCGGGGGTAGGGTGGATCCAGAAGGCTTCCAGGCAAAGCACTGGAAGCCGTCCGGAACACACACACCCTGCCGCCGTCGCTTGAAGTCGCCCCGCGCTGCCTATCCCAGTCATGCTAGCATGACTGGGATAGGCAGCGCGGGGCGACTTCAAGCGACGGCGGCAGGGTGTGTGTGTTCCGGACGGCTTCCAGTGCTTTGCCTGGAAGCCTTCTGGATCCACCCTACCCCCGCTGAGAGCCTTCCGAGCTCTCAAAGGGGTTCTCTCCAATGTCGG